ATGAACCGTCCCTTACTATTGTATGCGAAAGCCCCAGTGAAGAAAATCATACAAGCCAATCAAGGACAGTCCAGCTGAACGATCAGTGGAAAAAAAGCCTTCTCTGGGGCCTCTCGCTTTAAACAAAAGAGGCTTGTTCTGTCTTATGTAAAAGCTGACATGCCCTTTGAAATTGTACAAGACGCGATCAAGGACTATGCAACACAGCGTGGTGTTACAATTAGTTATATGAAGCTCCTTAAGCATTGGGAAGGCCGAAATTCAACTTACACAATACGTGTAAATATGCCAACACAATGTGCAAAAGCAATATTGGCCGATGAAACGTTCTGGCCTGAAAATGTTAACTGCAGAGAATGGGTACCAAAAAGTTCTTGGTATACATATGACAACTCAGGAGCCGAGAATGAAAAGCCATACTAACAATAAACATTATACATAGTGCACTGTTACTACTCGGTATGCTTCGAATAGCAACTTGGAACATACGAGGCATTATGCACGGTACACATCAGTTATGTACCAGACTAGACAGCACAGATCTATTCTTTGTGACTTAACATTGGTTAAGTGAACAAAATGCCTCCCTTATGAACACTATACATGATGATTTTGATGTTTACTATAAATGCAGCTGTACCAGTACTTCTCAGCGTGGGTCAGGTGGTATAGCAACATTCATACGTAAAGGCGATTGGTGTAGGGTATCCGTAATCAATACATCACAAAGCCAAAATGTAATCGGAGTAAGTCTACAAATAGGTAGTAACACATTATATGTGATAGGAACGAGATTACCTTCCCCTAACATCCTAGACAGTGTATACTTCGAACAGCTGGATTATGTGATGGAATTGTATGACATATACTCGCAATATGGTCTTACTATTCTTACTGGAGATTTTAATGCAGATATACGACAATCTGCTGTCCAAAGAATGAGATCTCGCTGTCTTCAAAGGGTACTAAATGAACGAACCCTAAATTCAGTTGTACCATTAGACGATATTACTAAGTATACGTTCTCAAACAAATGTAAAGATGTGAGAACAATGATAGACTATATGTTTGTGAGTGTTGATTATCTAAATAACGTTATTGGTTATACAATTGATACCGATATACCATATACTGTCTCAGACCATCTGCCTATCCTTCTGTGTATAACAAATGACTGTCCTAAAAAACCATATGGTGGATATAAGCTCAATTGGAAGAAAGCGTGTGATACTGATCTTATGCTGTACCGCTATGAAACTGAAAATTACTTTCGTGAAGACATATGCAAGTTGTCCCAATTCCCATCCCATAATGAATATATTGAAACGTATAATAAGTACATTACAGATGCCCTCCATGCATCTACTGCAGTAAGTATCCCATTAACGAAGTTTAAACCCTACCTCAAACCCTACCTGAAAAAAGACAACCTGAAGTTATTACATGATGAAATGCGCAGTAAAAGACGACATTGGCAAGAGAATGGCAGGTCACATGCTAAGAACGATGAGAACTTTGTTAAATATAAAGAAGCAAAGCGTAGTTTTAGAAGACAGCATCGTAGATCCAAACAATCGCTCATAGATTGCAGACTGAAAGAACTCTATGAGGCAGCTGAAATAGATGTACATGAAACTTTAAAACTGCAAAACGATATCACAAAACTAAGGGCCAAGTACACAAACTTCTTTATAAATATAATCAAAGTAGTAACGCGGAAGGTATTCGGGGAATCTTTGGTAAATACTTTCGAGACTTGTCAATCCCAACCATGGAAAGTCATTTTGACTGCTCTTTTGCTGTTGAAGTAATATGCTCAGTCAAAAATATTGAAAAACAACGAAACATCTGATGCTGATAACGATGTAACTGCTAACCATCCATTGAAGAGACCATTCACCATTGCAGAGGTATTAAGTACAGTTAACGGACTGAAAAACAATAAATCTCCAGGACCTGATGGGCTCACAAACGAACATATTAAGTATGCGGGAAGATCTTTATTAAAGCATATTATGGTATTATTCAATGCTATCATTAAACATGAATATATACCCAAAATGTATCATATTGGCGAAATCTTACCAGTACATAAGGGACGAGGAAAAAGTAAAAGTGATCCATCTAACTACAGGGGCATAACACTAACTTCAGTCCTAAGTAAGCTTTTCGAAAGAATGCTTCTCAACAGGATCGAAAAATGGACAAGCGATGATGTAGCATTCCCTCACCCACTACAGTTTGGATTTAGAAAAAATGCTGGTGCTGAAACGGCGGCTCTCACTCTTCTAGAATGTATTTCATATTTTAACGAAAGAAACTCACCAGTTTATTGTGCCTTCCTCGATAACGATAAAGCCTTCGATCGTGTTTGGCTTGACGGTCTCTTCTACAAATTACATAAATTTGGTATCAATGGTAAATTATGAAGAATTCTACGTTTATCTTACAATTCTATGTACTCATGTGTTAGCTTTGCCGGCTTCAAATCTGATGTTTTCCCTGTTAAACAGGGTATAGGTCAGGGTCGTGTCATATCAGCATGGCTCTTTACTCTTTATATAAACGATTTGCTTCATGAACTAAGCAATTCCGGTTGTGGACTATGTCTCCCATGGGGACGATGCCCAGGAATACTGTTAGCAGACGACACGACCTTGATCAGCTGTAACACAACAGGTCTTCAAATGCTCCTAAACGTTGCAGAAAATTATGGTAACAAGTGGCAGTTAAAATACAATGTGTTCAAAAGTGCTGTCCTAACTTTTGGATGTAGTAAAAAAACAGTGTCGCCTGAACATCTTTACATTGGTAAGATAAAGTTACCTGTTCAAAAGGCAATTGTCTATGCGGGAGTGTACATAAGTACTGCTAAAACTTCGGTAGAAAGAACGAGGTTAGCATGTGAAAAACTGAGAAAATTGATAAATGTAAACCATGATTCTGGCCTGTACTTTGATGGACTTAATCCTATAGCCGCCGTGCGCATCTGGCAACGAGTGATATTACCCTGTGGCTTATATGGATGTAATGTGTGGGGAAACCTATCCTTAAAGGAATATGAAATGCTAGAAATCACTCAACGCTATTTCTGTAAGAAAATCCAGGGTTTTAATAAGCGTATGCCCAAAGAAATAGAGAGAGACACAATTGGTGTTATATCAGTTCAAGGATACATTGATCAACAAAAGCTTTTGCTCCTTGGTAAGCTATGTAATTCAAACCTAATGTATATTTTCAAACAAATGTTTCTAGCCCGACTTGGACAGTTTAGATATAAAACAACACTAGTTAATAAGAACAAGTGGGACACGAAATCACCCATCTTCAGCATGCTACATCTTGTCTCCAAATATAATTTATCTGACGAGGTTAATGATTATATAATGTGTTCAAATTTCATCAAGAAACGATTATGGTCAAAATTGGTGAAAGAAAAGATTCACCTACACGAAAAACAATTACTAAACAATGCGCTTCTGAGCAGATTATCTCTGTCAAGATATCTAACAATACGATCTGGACGAGAACATAGGTTATGGAAACTTGCTCTCGATAGACCAGAATATTTTACTTTCTTAGCTATACTAGTTCGCTTAGGTTCAATGCCAATAGAATCAAAGGAATGTATTTGTGGAACACTGCACTACACTACACTATGTTAAACTACACTACACTGCGTGTATAACAGGTAACACCACGGCCGACACTGCACTACACTGCACTACACTACACTACACTATACTACATTACACTACACTACACTGCGTATGTAACAGGTTACACCACGTTCTACACTACACTACACTACACTACACTAACTGCTGATGTAACAGGTAACACCACGCACTACACTACACTACACTACACTACACTACACTACACTACACTACACTACACTACACTACACTGCGTATGTAACAGGTTACACCACGTTCTTCACTACACTACACTACACTACACTGCGTATGTAACAGGTTACACCACGGTCTACACTGCACTACACTACACTATGTTAATCTACACTACACAACACCATGTTAAGCTACACTACACTACACTGCACTACACTACACTATGTTAAACCACACAACACTACAGTACACTGCGTGTATAACAGGTAACACCACGGTTCACACTGCACTACACTACACTACACTAACTGCGTATGTAACAGGTTACACCATGGCCTACACTGCACTACACTACACTACACTATTCTAAACTACACTATACTTCACTACACTACACTAACTGCGTGTGTAACAGGTTACACCACGGTCTACACTACACTGCACTGCACCGCACCGCACCCCCGCACCGCACCGCACCGCACCGCACCGCACCGCACTGCACCGCACTACACTACACTAATAAACCTTGCATACTAAAATAAAGAGCAACATTTCTGTATGAGCTCGTAACCACAAAACATCTTTTCAAAAGAGTTGTTTTTAGAATCTAATTGTTTTGTTGCATATGTCAACATTTTGTAACACTAAATACAAAGACATCCGATTGACAAGCGTCCAGTTGAATAACTACGAAATCTTTAATATGGTCTCAATGTAATAGTGTCCTTTCACTGGAATAGAGCATGGCACGAATGTAAATTAGTTTAGTAATGAAGAACATTTAATAATCATATGATATTGTTTCACTGCATTCTGAAACATCTGGACTGATTGCATAGTTTTGTTGAGCTTATTCTAAAAATCAAGTCTGTAAAAGTAATAATGATGTTCACTGGGTCGTTGTTTCTACTTGGGTAACCAAGCAGAATATGAATGAAGTTGAGTTTGATTTTGACTTTTTTCGAGGTGTTTCCTTGTGTGTTTACTTGGCTTCAGTCCAGAATACATGAACAGTGTTACTGTGTTTCTACAACTACTGCTGTCTATATAGTCTACTTTCGACAAAAACGTGTTGGCTGGAAGTATATGGTGTAATAAAGTTAATAAAAATACGTCTGTACATGTACAGCACCTTTATTTTTTCAGATTCTTGGATAATGAAACAGCGGCAAACAGGTAGAGTAATTACCTACATTCGAATAGTAATCTGGCATGTCGAACGGCGTTCATTCTGATACTTCGTGAATGTCTTGAAGTCTAGTTTATTTTCAGTTAAATACACGTCCTTCTATTTTAGAGTTTTTTAGAGAACAGTCTGATGATGCCACAGCCTTAAACCTTGAAAGGGAACTGGAACGCGTCACCAAGCAGGTACGTTGTTTTACATACGATGTAGTAATGATCTCATACATTTTAGCACCCCTGACTGTTTGTCCGGCGTCCAACTATGTATTCATAAAGCAGGTACAGTTGTTGAAACCTGACTATTCATGAGTTGCGGTTAACATTTTTGTTACAGTTTTGGGGAAAAGGTTTGGACAATGTGTGCTTAGGATCGTTGATTCTTTTCCATGATAAAATGTGTATAGGCAGTTAACTTCTCTCAGTTGCAGGTAAAGATGGAGAGAAACAGTGAAAGAGGTAAGTTTATGTTGTATGGTCAAAATAGGATGTTCTAAAAATGTGGTAAACAGTGGTTTAATAATCATAACACTTATTAAATTGGTATTGACATTTTTCTGTAGTTAGAAAACTGAAATAAAGGATTAATTAGCAGATTAATCTACCATAGCAGTGTGACAGGAAAGGGGGTTCGGTTTAACGCCACTTTTTTAATTATTCTCAATCATGTCACGACGTGTCAGTATAATTTGTGAGGAAAAGTAGAAGCGAGAATTTAGCATTGGGATGGTCGTAAACAACTAAGTATTACAAACAGGGTGAATCGTGTTCGATATTTTGAAGAACTTTGGTTGTTTGGAATGAACACAAAGTGTTTCAATTAGTTACTTACAATTGTAAGAAACTGATATAATGTGCATAAATCCTAAGTAATGTTACACATGTATGATATTCCTCATTCTGGATGTACGAATCACTGCTACTGAATTGTCGAACGCAGTACCACCCAGAAACAAAGTTATTTTACCTCATGTGATAAACTGTTACTTCGTCACTGAAAGTGCAAAGTGTCACTTTCGTCAGTCTTTGATCTATGTGTCACTCGTGTGGTACTAACGTCATTAATCATGATACATATATACTTATATCGTCAACAATGAAAATTGTAGGTTTGATATTTAGAGATAGGAGAGTGAGTGAGTTAAAGTTTAACGTCACATCGGCAATATTTCAGCCATATCGTGACGAAGAGATAGGAGACATACAGATGAGTTTTGTATCCCACGGAAAGATGCATATTTGACATCGTTGAAGGTTTGATACAGTTCAGTAAAGTTAACTACATGTTGTTCATATAAAGAGGTTATCACGCGAGTGTGTTTAGGGATGGGTAATATCCTGTATTTGGAATAAACATTGTGTTTATCCAGCCTTGGCGAGCTAAATACAAAATGTCTATTCCTAATACAGGACATTTACAATTCCCAAACACACAAGCGTGATACATGTAACCTCTTCATCAAAAATGTCATTCTTTAATTTTGTGCTCGAAAATCTCTTCCATCTCTCACAAACATACCTATACATTGCATTTTTTCCTGGAATGCGCGCATTAATATATATTACGTCAGAGGGTAAGTGATGTGTCAGTCGGACAGTGACAGTATAGTTCCAACAGAAACCTGTTTCTTACACAGTGGCGTAACCACATATATGCATAAAAAACAATTGCCGACAAAAAATGTTTTTACTTGCCTTTCCCGGCAATTCAGCGGTCTGTTCGATAGAGTCACTCCCCTTTAGGTTTCTCGGCAGGATAAAGCCCACGGATAAAAACGATATCCATTGGGGTCATATGCGGACAGAGATGCAGATATCAAAGGTCAAGTAGGGACAACTTTCAGTGTTTATAGACACACATGGCGTCGCCCTTGTCATTCGGCGATCGAGTCAGAATTAATCATCGGGAATCTGGATAAACTACAGGGATAATTGCTATCATTATTAAAGGAACAGTCAATTATACTAAAATCAGTGTCTAACTGTGACGTAGCTAAGGCTTTTTATATGTTTTTGCAACATTGGAGATATAAATTTCGAAACAATTTAACGAGGGCACTAGGCCTAGCCAAGCGGTATCAGTACGGGGTCTATGCTTGTAGACCTCTGCGGCTTAAAAACCTTTTCCACAAATTAAAATAGTTGGATTTCTTCCGAAATATGTTTGAATTGTTACCTTGTTTCGTTTTGTCGCTGTGTGTACATCTGACTGCACTTCTTAACGTTATGACAGGACAGGCCGACTGTCAACATCGTCTGACCGTGGCCGTGATGTCTCACAGCCATACGTTAATATTGACTTTTAAAATAACATTCGACTAAATCATTCAGTGCCCATAAATATCGACTGTTATGGCTCCCTCTGACACCTGTATCAAGTGTCATTCAAAACAATATTGACAAAATGTGGCCGATAATTGGAATATGTCATCGTATTGCCTGATCTGCTTACTTACATATTTGAATATATTAAAATAGGTATGAGTCGAATTGAATTCTATCAAACTGTTAGTGAGAGCTATTTTATAGAAGATACCATGTTCCATGGACTGTTGTCTGTTGTGTGTGCATGTTATTGTGAGTTCTCTCTTTGTACTTGTGTACCATTGTATAGCAAGATGGATCGAAATATAAGAGGTTTATATTAAGTATACGTTATACCCGATCCAGCCGATGAGTCTTGAGGTCATGTACGTGGGCTGAATGTAGGGTGCAGAAGAGACCTAGCGGATATTGACATGGTCAGGGTCAGAGTACAGTTTAGGTATTATTAATGTGGGCTATGTAAGATGTAGCTACCATGTAGAAGTTATGGTTTGAGCCAGGTGTGGAATGTAACAGGATTATTGACATGCGTCAGGTGTGTGGTGCAGCTAACATGTTGGGGTTATTGGCGTTGACTGGGCCGTGTTATTTGTAGCTCAGAAATATACTCTAATTAATCGTATTAATTTGGAGACGCATTAAATTCAAGATTTACAGTTTTAGTTAAAAATCAAATTAACCTTTGGCCACTTTTGGTCACACAGGTGACAATGTTAAATCGTTTTGCAGCTTATTTACAGTCATGTACATCTATTGATGATAAACCTATAACATTATATTAGCAACTTTCGGGAGTAAGGACTATTGTTCAACAAATCAACACATGTTTAACTGAAACGCAAAGGACTCAAAACATTTTGTCTGTGAAGATTGCAAATTCTCTTAAAGATTCCGGAGACAAAGAAAAAGATGAGACGAAGACAGGGGGCGTGGGGCAGATGGCAATACAGGTAACCATACAGTGGATTAATATTCTGTTCTTTGAATCTCATCCGACAGCTCTACACTCTACAGAAGCAGCCAATTAGACCCAGATTGCATTTGGCACTTAATAGCCCTTTATGATTCACACTTATAGCTTACAGTTATTAATGAATGGACTAATTATCTTCTTACTACAATACCAACGAACTCTTTTCTCTCAGTTCCAGGATATGATGAAAAGGGCCGAAGGTGATCATGAGTCTGGTTGTTCTCGTCCTTGCTGATGTAATATTCCCCGCCACAGTGGGAGGGGACACAGGATTGAGTGTTGTTCGTCACATCTTCCGTCCGTCACGTTTTGTTTCCGGACCAAAACGCAAAGATCGTTTAATATTTCTGTATCAAACTTTTAACAGATATCAGTCCAGCCATGAACTGGTGCATTTTGCCGTTTAGGAATTTTTGAAGGCTTCCATGAGCACAAATTACACAGATATCAGTCAAGGCTTGAACAGGTGTCCTTTACTATCTTGGTATGTTTTCAAGGAAAATCTTACAAATTCGAATTTAATGAAGGCTCCATTTCCATAGCAGAACTCATGAACCATTTTGTACTTCCTCACTTATCAATCGAAAGGTCAACTGATTTTTAGATTTTCGGATTTTTTCAACTGTGATATTTAAAAAAAAAAAATGGAAACCCCAATAATATCCAATAATAGCCACGGCTCCCTGTGGTGGTCTCGTAGTAACACCACACTATTAAGATGGTTAAAGGTACCAGTCAGCTAGCAGCGTATCATTGAGTTTTGGACTCAGGGGCATTGACTGTATAGAACAGGTCCAAGTGCACGCATTTCTTAATGGGGCATAATGGATGTAAACATATTCGCTTTGTTTCCAAAACTGAATATGAGACGTTGATGATATAACGAAAAGTACAAAAAAGAAATGTTTACAGCAAGAGCACTTTAGCAACAACGTTTTAATTTTAACTTGTGTTTTCTTTATACTAGTCCAATTTATCCAGTGCAATAGTCATAGCGTGTGTGACAGGTTATTCAAATTAAGAAATGTTCTTTGTGTGTTTAAAGCATCATGATCATCTTTCAACTTAGTTCATGTAGACATCGATGCAAAACATGGCATTATGTTATATATTTATGTTTATGTGTATACAATAGCTGTCATGTGTTTGATAACAACAAAGTATATGTTTCCTCAGATATGGACGAGTCTCAAAGCAGTCTAGTTGAAGAGCAATCTATGTCAAAGGTAGGATCAGTGTCACGTTTGGTCAGTGTAGTAAATTCCCTAATACGTTGTTATTGTTGAATGGACATCTTGCAGACTTGTAAATCCTGTATGTTTGTAGGAGACATTGAGTGATGACTACACTGCAAGTCAAGAACGGGACATGAGAGCTGCAGAGACACAAATATGTAAGTGTTCAGCTTGACATGTGTAGACAACGTTCCTGGCTTGAAAGACATCAATGATCTAATATCCACAGTGACATGGTATATGACACTAAGCCTGAACTAAACGTGTTGAGAATCAATGAATGTACCCGGGAGTATATTATATATGTTAACCTGAAACACAAATCTTGAGAGAGACAAATATGTAAGTGTGCAGCTTGACATGTGTAGACAACGTTCCTGGCTTGAAAGAGATCAATGATCTAATATCCACAGTGACATGGTATATGACACTAAGCCTGAACTAAACGTGTTGAGAATCAATGAATGTACCCGGGAGTATATTATATATGTTAACCTGAAACACAAATCTTGAGAGAGACAAATATGTAAGTGTGCAGCTTGACATGTGTAGACAACGTTCCTGGCTTGAAAGAGATCAATGATCTAATATCCACAGTGACATGGTATATGACACTAAGCCTGAACTAAACGTGTGCAGCTTGACATGTGTAGACAACGTTCCTGGCTTGAAAGAGATCAACGATCTAATATCCACAGTGACATGGTATATGACACTAAGCCTGAACTAAACGTGTGCAGCTTGACATGTGTAGACAACGTTCCTGGCTTGAAAGAGATCAATGATCTAATATCCACAGTGACATTGTATATAACATTAAGCCTGAACTAAACGTGTGCAGCTTGACATGTGTAGACAACGTTCCTGGCTTGAAAGAGATCAATGATCTAATATCCACAGTGACATGGTATATAACACTTAGCCTGAACTAAAAGTGTTGAGAATCAATGAATGTACCAGGGAGTAAACAGCATATTACATTGCATTAATTACAATATCTGTTCCTGTTTCGACCCGGTAAGTCAGTTTTCCATTATGGTAACATGGGCTTTTACACAAGGTATTGGGAGGGGAAATTCCCTGAGGTATCTAAGCCCAACAAACTGTGACATCAGGTGTCAAACAGTTTGACCTAGTGCAGTCACACGTCCTATTGTCCCTCCCCATTATCAGTGGATGTGTTTGTGTTATGAACGTATAGAATGTGTGTGCTTGTGTCCTTGGAATCTCAGACACACCAATGTAGCAGACATCAGTATCAATGTAGCAGACATCAGTATCAATGTAGCAGACATCAGTATCAATGTAGCAGACATCAGTATCAGCGCTTCTCACTCTGACCCTGTTTATATGTGGACTTCAGCTTCAGGTATTGCAGAGGTCGTCGAACAAGAGAAGATGTTGCTGACCTTAGAGCAGGTACAATTATCTATACTACAGTTGATAAATTCAAAGTACATCCGTATCAAGTTCAAATGATTCATAAACAATCTCTATATTTTTGTCACAATAGTTTATACATAATCTAATTGTATAACCAACAACTAAATAAAGACAGTTTGATAAAGAACAATATGTCACTATCGACGTTTATGAATATGAATGGTTTGAATGATTTTTCCGTATATTTTAAGGAACATGACCTCCAAAAACGACACCTTGATTCGCTGTACTGTGGTACGTATCACAATATTGCACGGGTTATAGTTCTCTATAACATGTTGCAACAGACGGCTGGATCTGTGGATAAACATAACCACACCTGAAGTTTCAGGCTTGACCAAACAAATGTCCAAACGGACTTGAGGAAATCGTGAATTGAGAACCAATAACTTACATTAAAATAATTACATTGATGTGCACAGTAATATAATCATAATATCGTTAGAACAACATCAACAATACAAGTGAAAATGAAGCGTTTACAGATATGCACACAAATATAATATTGACTCATATCACACAATCAGGAGTCTCTCGTATCATATGATCCTTTGTGATTCGTATGACTTGATTCATAGTGGCTCTCATTACATGATTCATAGTGGCTCTCATTACATGATTCATAGTGGCTCTCATTACATGATTCATAGTGGCTCGCATTACATGATTCATAGAGGATCGCATTACATGATTCATAGAGGTTCGCATTACATGATTCATAGTGGCTCTCATTACATGATTCATAGTGATTCGTATGACATGATTCATAGTGGCTCGCATTACCTGATTCATAGTGGCTCGCATTACATGATCAATACTCACGGTGTTTCTGATGTTGTTTTGCCATTGCACATGCACAACTTGCATTGTACAACTCCCCTTGTACAAACAAATAGATCTGAAATGGCACATGCAGGTCACGAACACGTCCGTCTAAACCTAAACCACAATTATCAAGAACATGTCATGTGACTTATTTTGTACCTACAGACCTTCCTGATGAGTGGCTCATCAAAGTGCACTACCTACAGAGACACCAGGATGTCTTGTCCCTGTACGACGTGGACCTGCCGGAAGTCATCAGTGTGAGTCGGCATTCATATTTGTTCATCAAGATCAGAGAGGCACTCCTCTCCTCTACCAATGAACCCAATCAACAAATTTTTCTTCTAAATAAAGCAACAAAACACTAAAATCATAAGAAATCTGGCCAAAAAGCTGTGTCTGTATCATAAGCATGAGTAAATGAATCACTATCAATTAGTGATGGTACATACCAGGTGTTCGAAATTGTTGAGCACGTGTACAACCTGATGAACCTACTGCTGACAGTGAACCTGTAACACGTGTGTATTGTGTATGTGTTTCATACACAAGAAGGCGCTCGGCATTTTCAAGTTACATATAGAACTCACCACTCTGATTCATATGAATATGTTTTTAAAGTAATTTGTATAAAAGGTGAATATGTAAATATGGCTTACAATAGGAATAATGGCATAATATCACGCAGTAAACGAATTTAAGGCACACAAAACATCACACAATTCTGATACCTTCAATATATCGAACAGGTCTCGCACAATAGTGCCTATGTGTACATACATTCTCACACTGAATTGATCGTTGACATTGCGAGCGATTCTCATTAATAAGTATGTGCATATATTTATATCTTTATCTGAAATAATTGCAGGAGATGGTCAGACCCGGACCTTCCCACATCCAGACAGCCAAGTTAGAGATTTCTCCAGGTAAGACTCATCATACTCAATGTTCATCCTATCCTTGAGTGAATGTGAACGCTACTTCGAGCAGTATTTCAGTTATATCAGGTCGTGTCAGCCTGATGTGGGAGGAGGTGAGGCAGATGTAAAGCACGTTTACCACTTTGGCGGAACCAACAAGAACGAGCCAAGAATCATTATTCGGAGCTCTAGACGACTGGTCCGCCCGGTGCGATAATCGATCGAACAAGACATTCAGGCCTGTTGTCAAAATCTGAAAACAACTGCATCGAGTGTTCCGAGTCGCGGAGACAGGTGTCAGTAATGTGTGTTTGTGTGTGACCACTTTGATCTGATTGATCGCCGCCTCATGCTTCCCAATAGCATCTGAATTTTAGCTAAATGAGGAACTGTCCGATCATGACAGTCCAAGAGCCTGTATATATCGGGGAACTGCAGGATGTGGTGTAATGGCAACACAAAGCATAACCTGTATATATCGGGGAACTGCAGGATGTGGTGTAATGACAAAAGTACGCAGGACCTCAATATATCGGGGAACTGCATGATGTGGCCTATTGGCAACACCAAGCAGGACCTGTATATATCGGGGAACTGCAGGATGTGGTGTAATGGCAACACTAAGCAGGACCTCTATATATCGGGGAACTGCAGGATGGGTGTAATGGCAACACTAAGCAGGACCTGTATATATCGGGGAACTGCAGGATGGGTGTAATGGCAACACTAGGCAACAGCTCTATATGTCGGGGAACTGCAGGATGCGGTGTAATGGCAACACCAAGCAGGGCCTGTATATATCTTGGAACTGCCGGATGTGGTGTAATGGCAACACTAAGCAGGACCTGTATATATCTTGGAACTGCCGGATGTGGTGTAATGGCAACACTAAGCAGGACCTGTATATATCGGGAAACTGCATGATGTGGTCTAATGGCAACACCGAGCAGGACCTGTATATATCGGGGAACTGCAGGATGTGGTGTAATGGCAACACTAAGCAGGACCTCTATATATCGGGGAACTGCAGGATGGGTGTAATGGCAACACTAGGCAACACCTCTACATGTCGGGGAACTGCAGGATGGGTGTAATGGCAACACCAAGCAGGACCTGTATATATCTTGGAACTGCCGGATGTGGTGTAATGGCAACACTAAGCAGGACCTGTATATATCGGGGAACTGCAGGGTGTGGTGTAATGGCAACACTAAGCAGGACCTGTATATATCGGGGAACTGCAGGGTGTGGTGTAATGGCAACACCACGCAGGACCTCTATATGTCGGGGGAACTGCAGGACGTGGTGTTATGGCAACATTGAGCAGGACCTGCCTAGCTATAACGGGGAACTGCGGGATGTGGTGTAATGGACGTCCTAAACCTGTACTCTCGGACTCGGGTCAGGTGATCGAGCTGGCCACACAATACGGTCGATTCTGTCATCATTCAAGTACTGGTCCATAACGCTGACATGATGAGGATTTGCGTAGTCACTAATGATAATGATTGTACATATCCCAAATGGCATCCTTGAAGGGAACAGCTGTCCTCAAGGACATGGAGATCAGTGCATCCAACGTTGCTGACCTTTTCTGACCCACTTAGCAACGTTAGCCTCCTGACACCATTGCGCAACACCGGGGTTTTTACGCCGCACTGAGCAATATTCCAGCTTTATGACGGCGGTCTGTAAATAATCGAGTCTTGACCACACAGTCCAGTGATTAATATCATGAGCATCGATCAACGAAATTGAAATCGATTACATGCATCAACCTTGCAGCGAGCCTGACCACCAGATCCCGTTTGTTGCCTCTTACGACAAGCATAGTCGCCTATTACGGCAAGGATGGGTTGCTGGAGACCTATTCTACCGCGGATCTTCACGGGTCGGTTCTGTGAAGTCAACTAGTGAAGAGAAACGGGGACCAGTCAAGCACCGTCCAGTTGGTGTTATCTCAACACCAGGCAAAACGGGCCCGTGTATGCCAATCAATGTTATGGGATACTTGATCTGGAGGAACGAAGATCTCCTTGAAAACACATTGCTTGTCTTGACATGTTTACTAGTGCGGCTTACGAGACTGTTTGCCGGCATGAACGGATTTCTTCAGCAACCTGTCCTCCCGCTGCGTTGAGGACTGCATTAGTTGGAAACGATTCCATGCTCTGCAGCACGTACAGCATTAAGTTGTGATATCGCACAGTCAAGCATACTAATATAGCAGACATTGTTGATGTAGAATATTTGTATACACACTGATTTCCCTTCACGCACAGTGCGTGAAAGCCAAATTTGTTGTGTGATGGGTTACCAAAACATGGTCAAGTTAAAGTTTGATAATCATGTTGTTGACCAATATATGTGTTGTCCTAAGCAAACTTTGAGTGCCACATCCCAATGATAATAATATCCATATTTGTTTAAGAATTCTATCTATGTGATTCAGCTTCTTCTTTCTACCCACAATGCCATTCTATATTTTATCAGAAGATGAAAGCCACCAGAGGCATGTGAAGAGAAGTCAGATTGCCAAGCTGAGGCGGTTTCAACAGGGGTTGCTGAAGGAGAGTGACCTGTTTGACATCATAGGAAACGTAAGAAGACGTTATCTTATATCTATTTATATCCAGTGGGGCCCATTTCTGATCTTTCGCCTGGAGTTAAGTAATAGAGCAATGCAGTGTGGCTCATCCCTTAGGATTACTCCATGTTTTTCTTCAGGGGTTAAGTAATACAGCAATGCAGTGTGGTTCACCCCTTTTGATTACTCCATGTTTTACTTCAGGGGTTAAGTACTTCAGCAATGCAGTGTGGTTCACCCCTTTGGATTACTCCATGTCTAACTTAAGGGGTTCAGTAATACAGCAATGGAGTGTGGTTCACCCCTTTGGATTACTCCATGTCTTTCTTCAGGGGTTAAGTACTACAGCACTACAGCGTTGGTAATACAGGACTACAGCAATGAAGTGTGGATTACGCCTAAGGATTACTCCATGTCTTTCTTCAGGGGTTAAGTAATACAGCAATGCAGTGTGGTTCACCCCTTATGATTACGCCATATCTTACTTCAGGGGTTAAGTACTACAGCACAACAGCGTTGGTAATACAGGCCTACAGCAATGAAGACTGGCTTACGCCTAAGGATTACTCCATGTTTTTCTTCAGGGCTAAGTAATACAGCAATGTGGTGTGGTTCACCCCTTAGGATTACTCAATGTCTTACTTCGGGGTTTAAGGAATACAGCAATGCAGCGTGGGTTATCCCTTAGGATTACTCCATGTCTAACTTCAGGAGTTAAGTAACACATCAATGTAGTGTGGTTCACCCCTTTGGATTACTCCATGTCTTTCTTCAGGGGTTAAGTACTACAGCAATGCAGTGTGGTTCACCCCTTAGGATTACTCCATGCCTTACTTTAGGGTTAAAGGAAAACAGCAATACAGCGTGGGTTATCCCGTAGGATTACTCCATGTATTTCTGCAGGGCTAAGTAATACAGCAATTCGGTGTGGTCCACCCCTTAGGATTACTACATGTCTTTCTTCAGGGTTAAGTAATACAGCAATTCGGTGTGGTCCACCCCTTAGGATTACTCCATGTCTTACGTAATGCAGCACTGCAGTGTACATATTTATTCTGCCTGTATGAGATATATGTGTTGAGTTCACTATCTATATCCAGCCAGTGTGACATGTGTTTTATTCACTATCTATATTCTGCCTGTGTGATATATGTGTTGTATTCACTATCTATATTCTGCCTGTAGGAGACGTGTTGTATTCACTCTCTATATTTTGCCTGTGGGAGACGGATTGTATGAACTATCTATATCCTGCCTGTGGGAGATGTGCTGTATTCACTATCTATATTCTTCCTGTGTGAGATGTGTTGTATTCACCATCTATATATATTCTGCTTGTGTAAGATGTGTTGTATTCCCAATCTATATTCTGCCTGTGTGAGATGTGTTGTATTCACTCTCTATATTCTGTCTGTGTAAGATATGTTGTTTTCACTCTCTATATTCTGTCTTTGTGAGACGGGTTGCATTTACTGTCTTTAGTCTGCCTGTTCATCGTCTTTGATTTACGGGTTTGAGTGAGAGAAGAGTTGTAATGATTATCTGTTTCTCCCCATGTCTTCACTCTGCCTGTGTGGGAAGTGTTTAGTGTGACATGTGTTATCTTCGTCCTGTGTCATGTGTGTCTTCACTCTGCCTGTGTGGGAAGTGTTTAGTGTGACATGTGTTATCTTCGTCCTGTGTCATGTGTGTCTTCACTCTGCCTGTGTGGGAAGTGTTTAGTGTGACATGTGTTATCTTCGTCCTGTGTCATGTGTGTCTTCACTCTGCCTATGTGGGAAGTGTTCAGTGTGACATGTGTTATCTTCGTCCTGTGTCATGTGTGTCTTCACTCTGCCTGTGTTGGAAGTGTTTAGTGTGACATGTGTTATCTTCGTCCTGTGTCATGTGTGTCTTCACTCTGCCTGTGTTGGAAGTGTTTAGTGTGACATGTGTTATCTTCGTCCTGTGTCATGTGTGTCTTCACTCTGCCTGTGTGGGAAGTGTTTAGTGTGACAAGTGTTATCTTCGTCCTGTGTCATGTGTGTCTTCACTCTGCCTGTGTGGGAAGTGTTTAGTGTGACAAGTGTTATCTTCGTCCTGTGTCATGTGTGTCTTCACTCTGCCTGTGTTGGAAGTGTTTAGTGTGACATGTGCTATCTTCGTCCTGTGTCATGTGTGTCTTCACTCTGCCTGTGTGGGAAGTGTTTAGTGTGACATGTGTTATCTTCGTCCTGTGTCATGTGTGTCTTCACTCTGCCTGTGTTGGAAGTGTTTAGTGTGACATGTGTTATCTTCGTCCTGTGTCATGTGTGTCTTCACTCTGCCTGTGTGGGAAGTGTTTAGTGTGACATGTGTTATCTTCGTCCTGTGTCATGTGTGTCTTCACTCTGCCTGTGTGGGAAGTGTTTAGTGTGACATGTGTTATCTTCGTCCTGTGTCATGTGTGTCTTCACTCTGCCTGTGTGGGAAGTGTTTAGTGTGACATGTGTTATCTTCGTCCTGTGTCATGTGTGTCTTCACTCTGCCTGTGTGGGAAGTGTTTAGTGTGACATGTGTTATCTTCGTCCTGTGTCATGTGTGTCTTCACTCTGCCTGTGTGGGAAGTGTTTAGTGTGACATGTGTTATCTTCGTCCTGTGTCATGTGTGTCTTCACTCTGCCTGTGTGGGAAGTGTTTAGTGTGACATGTGTTATCTTCGTCCTGTGTCATGTGTGTCTTCACTCTGCCTGTGTGGGAAGTGTTTAGTGTGACATGTGTTATCTTCGTCCTGTGTCATGTGTGTCTTCACTCTGCCTATGTGGGAAGTGTTTAGTGTGACATGTGTTATCTTCGTCCTGTGTCATGTGTGTCTTCACTCTGCCTGTGTGGGAAGTGTTTAGTGTGACATGTGTTATCTTCGTCCTGTGTCATGTGTGTCTTCACTCTGCCTGTGTGGGAAGTGTTTAGTGTGACATGTGTTATCTTCGTCCTGTGTCATGTGTGTCTTCACTCTGCCTGTGTGGGAAGTGTTTAGTGTGACATGTGTTATCTTCGTCCTGTGTCATGTGTGTCTTCACTCTGCCTGTGTTGGAAGTGTTTAGTGTGACATGTGTTATCTTCGTCCTGTGTCATGTGTGTCTTCACTCTGCCTGTGTTGGAAGTGTTTAGTGTGACATGTGTTATCTTCGTCCTGTGTCACGTGTGTCTTCACTCTGCCTGTGTTGGAAGTGTTTAGTGTGACATGTGTTATCTTCGTCCTGTGTCATGTGTGTCTTCACTCTGCCTGTGTGGGAAGTGTTTAGTGTGACATGTGTTATCTTCGTCCTGTGTCATGTGTGTCTTCACTCTGCCTTTGTGGGAAGTGTTTAGTGTGACATGTGTTATCTTCGTCCTGTGTCATGTGTGTCTTCACTCTGCCTGTGTGGGAAGTGTTTAGTGTGACATGTGTTATCTTCGTCCTGTGTCATGTGTGTCTTCACTCTGCCTGTGTTGGAAGTGTTTAGTGTGACATGTGTTATCTTCGTCCTGTGTCATGTGTGTCTTCACTCTGCCTGTGTGGGAAGTGTTTAGTGTGAAATGTGTTATCTTCGTCCTGTGTCATGTGTGTCTTCACTCTGCCTGTGTGGGAAGTGTTTAGTGTGACATGTGTTATCTTCGTCCTGTGTCATGTGTGTCTTCACTCTGCCTGTGTGGGAAGTATTTAGTGTGACATGTGTTATCTTCGTTCTGTGTCTTGTGTCTTCACTCAATTATGTAAGACCACGTTGCACAGATATATTATACAATGATGTTATGTGTGTGTTTCCTTGTACATTAGACACTAAACTCACTCTTCCATTTGGTCAGATGATTGTCGATGATGAAGACCACCTCGCCTCTTTACAAGGTGAGTCCTCCTTACAATGTTCGTGAACGTCAGCTACTGCTAATGCGTGTTGACCTCATTGCGTGGATATTGAATCTGTAACGATTCGTCTGTTAATATACTGTTTTAATTTATTAAATATTAATGATATCATTACATAATATAGTATCACCAATATCAAGTTGTACAATGTTATGTATTCCGTTTGTGTCAGCTCTAAATGAGACTAAGTGTTCAGTGGAACCATCCTCTATTCAGGTTGTGTGTAGGACAGTAATATATTCTGATTGTTTCAGCTTTGAATGGGCCTTTGTATTTGGTGGGGCCATCCTCTCTTCAGGTTGTGTGTAGGCAGCAATATATTCTGATTGTTTCAGCACTGAACGGGCCTGTGTATTTGGTGGGACCATCCTCTCTACAGGTTGTGTGTAGGCTGTAATATATTCTGATTGTTTCAGCACTGAATGGGCCTGTGTATTTGGTGGGGCCATCCTCTCTTCAGGTTGTGTGTTGGCAGTAAAATATTCTGATTGTTTCAGCACTGAATGGGCCTGTGTATGTGGTGGGACCATCCTCTCTTGAGGTTGTATGTAAGTAGTAACACCTGATAGCAACTAACCAGTTTTTTCGGTCATATCGAAGTTTTCAATATGTAACTATTTACAAAAACAATATATCTTCTCAAAACCCTTAACTCGGTATACTATCACTACACATTGCATGGTATGCAGAACCATTAACTTGATGTTCAGTACATGTTCCACCATCTTATTCAGTTTAACTTAAATTATGTTTCAAAGACCCTACAAGAACTTATCCAGTTATGAGTACAATATATGGAGTCAATCAAACACAGTCCTGATGCCGGCTTGCAGATATGTGAATCGGATACCTGCCAGATATGTTTTAACAGTGTCATGTTTGAGTTTAAGGACGTCGTGGCAATGAGCAATGAGGTCCTGAAGGTAAGCTTCATTAACTGGTGGCAGGGCACTGCTAGCACCCAGTGGGTAAACAACCTGAACTTTAATATAAACTTGAGATAGCACTGGAAACCTGTAGGGTAGGCTGTTCTTTTGTGTTGACTGATAGCTGCTGACCACAGGGTATCCAAATGTCTGTTCAGGACCACATCACTTTTGAGCTGGTTGGGCAGGGCGTTGGATTGAGTTCTGCGTTCGGAATTTCCTGAACTGCAAACGGGAAAGTGCACCTGCGGTGTTATTTTGCACACTTGGACCATTTTCGGCTCACACGATCAAGTTATTTGTAGCTGCTTGCCACGTGAGGGGCCACATCAGAGCCAGGATGTTCATACATTTTGATCTACCCTTTTTGATAATACACACAGTAGCTATGTTGTCACAAGGTTAGGATTGCTTCCACAGTTCTACCAGCTTCATAACAGGAGGATCAATAGTCAGATGCAGAATATTTTCCACGCCATAGTTGTATTGCAACATCGAGCACACGGCTTATGACAGGCTATTGAATATCTTTGGACTAGATCTCCACCCGAAAGTCAATCTAGTATAGAAGTAGTAGCTAGCATTGCATCGGAAACCAAAGAAAGGCAAGTACCTGGGGTGCAGCGGAATCTGTTTGAACGCGTCAGTAATGTACACTTTACACATCTGTGCACCATGTCCCAACTGTTTAATAACTGCAATAGCATTGTCTATGGCCACGTGAGAAAGTGAAGCAGATTCCTTACTATTGAGATCGTTGATTCTTGGGGTATCGTCTGTGTCATGTGGGGCTGACAGATCAAGGATTAACCTCTTCTTGCCCGAGTAATCCCTAAGGGGTTAATTCTGTACACGGGATATGGTGCCTGCTGGAATGGTCCTATTACATACCCCTTTGTTGGGACTTCTGTCTACACTGCCTTTGTCATTACTACTGGATCAAGTGTAGCACTACGATTGTTCTTATATTCTGTTGTGGACTGTGGAATATCCAACATTAAGGGCCAAAGCCATGTTGCAATCCGTTGATGAGATACGTTGTAAATGGAGGATTGGGATGGAAGCTAGTTCTGCCTGTATTGCCTGTATATTGATAGGAGTGAGATGAACTGCGACTGTACCTCCGTCCTTTTCGCCAGTTATATCCGGGAAGGTTAGTCAAGCTTGAGTATCCCGTCTAGACTTGGGAGACTTTGCACAAGTTACGTGTATGTGAAAACAATTGAGACACAAATGAAGGTACACACAGTTCGCTCTTGTACAGCCCTGGTGATTGAAATGATTACAGACCTCACGTTCGTTAACTCTCCTGGTGTCGTTTCTGTCTGTCACCCCTGCCTATCGGAAATGAGAGTTCTGTCAAGGAACAGGTTAGGCCTAACTTTATCGGTACGTCGCTCGGGACACAAGTCTGTACCATGGGTAATGCTGTGGCATATGGTACACGATCTAGAACGTCGACCCGAAGAGCACAGCCCGTACAAACGTGTGTCCCTCATGTCCCATCGAATTCTGCATCCTTGCTTCACATAACATGCCACTCTGGCGGCAAACAAGTGCGCGGTGCCTCGACACAATGTATTTCAATCACAGTTCATATCCGTCCAACTGTTTATGTTTTGCATCATTTGTGTCACTGTGAATGTTCTTATATATGCCAAAGGCCTGGGTGAATTCGGCAAGGGTCAGTGCATGATTTAACCTAAGATCCTCTTCCAATTGGTAGACATTGTCATCATATTCGGTCATTCTTGCGCCAAAGGTGTCTTGGTTGGGTAATAACAGCAAAGCAAGGTTGCAATACTTGCTGTTTTTGATCTTCATCTTAAGAGCTGGAGCGACAGAGTGAATGTGTGGCAGAGAATCAGAAGGCGCTTCATGGCTGTGTTGATTTGGTAAGCCCACAGCCGCGTGATCAGTTGGCACTGTGTGTTTTTAACTCTGCTAGTCCACGTTGAAGACTTGTAACACTTACAGTGACAGAAGGCACGGAGTTGGTCACATTTTCCACATTGTCCGACACAACGCTGTCTGGTAGATCTAGATCTAGATCTCTGCTGTGAGATAGTCCAGCCTCAACAATCACCGTAAGTGTAGCCGCCAGTGTCGAATTAGCACTGAGACCGTATTTGTCAGACAAGGTCACTGTCGCTGATACTGGCTGTCTGTGTTGATCCTCTTGCACCAACTGCAGCAAGTTTTTCCTTGGCCAGTTATTCGACACCCTCACGACACGTTCCGCCAGTTGTATGCGTAATATACAGTCGTCGATGTTACAGGTAGCTACACCATTAAACATTCCATACAATCATCGATGTTGCAGGTGGTTACTCACAAATGCATCGCATTCAATCGTTGATATTTGCTAGTGATGCGCACAAATGTATCGCGTACAATCATCGCTATTGCAGGAGATTACTCACAAATGCATCGCATTCAATCATTGATATTTGCTAGTGATACGCACAAATGTATCGCGTACAATCATCGATGCTGCAGGTGGTTACAAACACACTCAATCAAAACTGTAATCAATATTCCAGATGACAACTCACAAATGTATCACATACAATCATTGATGTTGCAGGTGGTTACTCACAAATGCATTGCATACAATCATCGATGCTTCTGGTGGTTACAAACACACTCAATCAATGCAGTTATCGATATTGCAGGTGATTACTCACAAATGCATCGCATTCAATCGTTGATATTTGCTAGTGATGCGCACAAATGTATCGCGTACAATCATCGCTATTGCAGGAGATTACTCACAAATGCATCGCATTCAATCATTGATATTTGCTAGTGATACGCACAAATGTATCGCGTACAATCATCGATGCTGCTGGTGGTTACAAACACACTCAATCAAAACAGTCATCAATATTCCAGATGACAACTCACAAATGTATCACATACAATCATTGATGTTGCAGGTGGTTACTCACAAATGCATTGCATACAATCATCGATGTTGCAGGTTCCTACTCAGAAATGCATACAATAATCGATATTGCAGGTGGTTACTCACAAAAGCATTGCATACAATCATCAATATTGCAGGTTCCTACTCACAAATGCATACAATAATCGATATTGCAGGTGGTTCCTCACAAATGCATCCCATACAATGGTCGATGTTGCTAGTGGTTACTCACAAATGCAGCGCATACAATTATCGATTTTGATAGTAGTTACTCACAAATGCATTGCAAAAAATCGTCGATGTTGCAGGTGATGAGTCACAAATGTATTGCATACAATCGTCGATGTTGCAAGTAGCTACTCACAAATGCATTGGATGCAAATGTCGACGTTGCAGGTGATTACTCACAAATTCATCGCATACCATCAAATATATTGCCAGCTATTACACACAAATGCATTGCATACAATCATCGATGTTGCAGGTGGTTACTCATAAATGCATTGCATACAATTGTCGATGTTTCATGTGGTTTCTCAATAATGCTTTGCATACAATCGTCGATGTTGCATGTGCTTACTCACAAATGCATTGCATACAATCATAGATATTGCAGGTGGCTACTCATAAATGCATTGCATACACTTGTCGATGTTTCATGTGGTTGCTCAGTAATCCATTGCATGCAAATGTCGACGTTGCAGGTGATTACTCACAAATTCATCGCATACCATCAAATATATTGCCAGCTATTACACACAAATGCATTGTATACAATCATCGATGTTGCAGGTGGTTACTCATAAATGCATCGCATACAATCGTCGATGTTGCAGGTGGTTATACAATTAAACATTAAATACAATAATCGATGCTGCTTGTGGTTACTCACAAATGCATCGCATCCATTCGTTGATGTTCCTTGTGGTTACTCACAAATGCATTGCATTCAATCATAGATGTTCCAGGTTGTTACTCACAAATAAATTGCATACAATCATCGATTTTGCAGGTGGTTACTCATAAATGCATTGCATACAATTGTCGATGTTTCATGTGGTTGCTCAATAATGCATCGCATACAATCGTCGATGTTGCAGGTGGTTATACAATTAAACATAAAATATAATAATCGACGTTGCTAATGGTTACTCACAAATGCATCGCATCCATTCGTCGATGTTCCTTGTGGTTAGTCACAAATGCATCGGATACAATCATCGATGTTGTAGGTGATCACATACGCACACAGTTAATACAATCATCGATATTGCAGGTGATTACTCACAAATGCATCGCATTCAATCGTTGATATTTGCTAGTGATACGCACAAATGTATCGCGTACACTCATCGCTATTGCAGGTGATTACTCACAAATGCATCGCATTCAATCATTGATATTTGCTAGTGATACGCACAAATTTATCGCGTACAATCATCGATGCTGCTGGTAGTTACAAACACACTCAATCAATACAGTCATCGATATTGCAGGTGATTACTCACAAATGTATCACATACAATCATTGATGTTGCAGGTGGTTACTCACAAATGCATCGCATTCAATCGTTGATATTGCAGGTGATTACTCACAAATACATCGCATTCA